CTATATTTTAAAGTCTTTTTATGCTCTCTGAAAGTAGTGGCTATTTCATATTAATAATCACTATCAATATGTTAAGCAGTTCAATGACTAAAAGTAGGATAGATAAATGTTTAGTTTCTTGGGGTTTATATTCTGTTTCCAGTGTAGTTCTAATTCTTTAGCTTTACAGCATATTTTGGTAGTAGTGGATACACTAGATTCAGTGAGATTCGAACACACTCAGAAAATACAACTGTTGAAATGCCAACTTCTTTTGACCACAGCTGTTCAAAAGAAGGAGAGGACATGATTACACAATTTCTTAGATACATTTTCTTATGTAATCTTAGCTGAAAAAAGGATGGAAAACGTCATTCGTAGAGGTAAAGGGAGTTAGAAGAGAAAAACAGCTTTTATTCTATTTAATAGTTGTCTAAAGCAGAGAAGCAGGCATATTGTTTGGATAACCAGTAGAAACATGTCATGGTTGACTAACATAATTATCAAACACCAGCCCATTTAAAATATATTGTGTAGTTTTATCTGCTTTCTGCAGCTCTTTATGTATGTGTGTGTGATACGGTTTATTGGCTTGGTTTATGTTACGTAGTGTATAATGAATTCAGTGAGTATTGATCATCCTCCAGGTTCTGCCATAGGCTCTGGTTTGTGAACCGCATGTAGCGCCCACTTGCCTAGAGTGCAGTCTGGTGGGGGGCTGCCTCCTGTGCATGGGGGCTTTTCTCTGCCACCGACCACTTGGATAGACTCTTTTCCAAAGTGTTGTGTTTTGTTTTCTTAAAGATTTATTTATTTATTTTTATTTTTTGAGGGGGGAAGGAAGGGAGAAAGAGATGGAGAGAAACATTGATGTGTGGTTGCCTCTCACACGCCCCCTACTGGGGACCTGGTCTGCAACCCAGGCCTGTGCCCTGACTGGGAATCGAACTGGCGACCATTTGGTTCACAGGCCAGCACTCAGTCCAGGGAGCCATACCAGCCAGAGCCAAACAATGTTTTTAAATGGATGAAATACATAAGATCGCAAAAATAATTATATTGAAACAGTATCAAAATAACAAAAGGTCAAGTTTGTAATTTTGTAATGCGCTTTTAAATTTACTCCTTGCCCTGGTTGGTGTGGCTCAGTGGATTGAGCACTGGCCTGTAAACAGAAGGGTCACCAGTTCAATTCCCAGCCAGGGCAGAGGCCTGGGTTGCAGGCTAGGTCCCCAGTAGGGGACGTGCGAGAGGCAACCACATATGGATGTTTCCCTTTCTGCCTCCCTTTCCCTCTCTCTAAAAATAAGTAAATAGAACCTTTTTTAAAAATTTACCCTTAATTATAAAATCTAATTTAATAATTACTATAATTTGGAAGTGATGATGAGGGTAAAGGCTGTTTCTGAGATATCTTCAAACACCGAATGCAATCAGAAATGGCTTTCTTTTGGCGTCCTAGACACAGGTACACCACTCCTGCTGTTCGTGCATTCCTCATGAAATGGGCGTTAAGAATTCTAAATCTCAAAGGTTGGTAAAAGTGGAGATGTAATCTCTCCCTCCAAGGTCCTAGAACCCTTGATTAAATATAATTTAAAACTTCATTATGAGAGCCCTGGCCCGCGTGGCTCAGTTGGCTGGAGCGCTGTCCCAAGAGCTTGACGGCCACGGGTTCCAGCCCTGGTCAGGACGCGTGCCCGGTTCCATGCGCGTGCCCGGTTCCGTGCGCGATCCTCGGTCGGGACGCGTGCGGGAGGCAACCGGTGTTCCTCTCTTATCAACCTTTCTCTCTCTCTCTCTCTGTTTTCCTTCCTCTTTCTCTAAAAGCAATGAAAAAGTGTCCTTGGGGGAAGATAAAAATATTTATTTAAAGATAATGATGCTTTGAAAGTCTGTACTGTGTATTGATGAGGGAGGCCATAACTGGGTGTTGGATTACTTTTGACACATGATGGTCTATTACGCTGTCGTGTTGGTGAGTTTGCGGAATACACTTGTAGGACACATACAGCTCTTTGAAAGAACTATTAACATTTGAGGGAAATAATTTCATAATTGTCCCAAATCAAACTGTTTTTATCTGTGAATTTGACTGTGAGATGTTTTCTCAATAATCTTACTCAGTAGTGCTTGAAAAGTAAAGAGAAAAACTCTGTACTTTCAGATTTCATCTCAGGATCAACAAGTGTTCCTCAGGCACACGGCCTTACTGAACCTGGCCATTTCTCGTTGCCGTTGATCTGGTCGTGCAGCTTCCGGGCTCCAGCAGCTCTGCGGCCCGCTCTGCTTCCTGTTAGCCAGGGGTCTTGAGACTTTGACTTTGCTTATCTTTTAAATGAGGGTATTATACCAGATACTGTTCCGATTTAAAAGGGAAGGCGAGGGAGAGGCCCACCGGGCACACTTGGGTTTGTGTGGTTTTGCTGCCCTCCCCCCTCCCCGCCACCTCTCATCACACCTGTACCTCCATCGGGACAGTCCCTGCCTCCTTGTGCGGCCATTTGCCTCCTGACAAGATCTTGACTAAGGCTAAGGATCCCGATTCTGTGTTTGTAGGTGGGACTGCCTTGGAATAGAATGTTATTTTTTTGGTAAAAAATCACTCTACAGTAATGATTTGTTAACTCTCTAGCACAAGGCCAGGAGGTGCTGAATAAATAAAGGTTCTCTTTATTCCTCTTGCCTCTCGCAACACAATTTCATCATGCGTGATCGGACATCGAGAGTTCAGTGTCTAGTGGGTGACACTCAGCAGACGGGGGAGTTAATGCGCCATCAGCACGTGGCCGATCAGGGCAATGGCCAGGTGCTCCACGTGTGTTACCTCTTCTGATCCTGAAGACAGTTTTATATTAGGTGGTTTTAGTTAGTACCTTTGACATGATTAGAACACTGAACTTTGCTGGCAGATGACTCAGCCAGGATGTAAATTATGGACCGTTCAATGCAAGCCTTTGATCTTACCCCAGTGAATATAGCCTTTGCTATTAACTTAAACTTTTTGTGTCATGGAACCGACCACGGAGGATTAGCTCACAGTTGCAGGAGGTGGAACTGCATTGTGTAAGGGCAGGCTCCGATCTGGCCTTCTGTCGTGTCCCACTGACACTTGTTTCTGGAAGATGTGCCCAGCACACAGGGGGCTTGCGCTGGCTGCCCAGCTCTCTGAGGACGCCCCTTCCCTGGGGGCTCTCCTGCCCACTCACTGCCGCACGGGCGCCACCTAGTGGTTCCAGGTGAGACCCCCGCCGGGACTGAGGGTAAAGTCGCTTCTTCCTTCACCCCCAGGGGTGCGGCTTTCCTGAGCGGGGCACAAGCCCAGGGTAGTGTGCAGGGGGTGCATTTTTCCTGGCTAGCTGTGGGGAGCCGCGCCGGGGCACAGGAGGTCATCCCTCCCTGCCGCCAGCCGCACAGCGCTGCCACCGCACGCGGCCCGCCTCCCGAAGACCCCTGCCTGGCTTCTGTCGGGCCACGCCATCCAGCTCACGCACCGCGTGAAGAACAGCGGTTCCAACAAGACGGGCTCTGCGACTACATGTAGTTTGCCACCTTTTCGGGCACCTTTTTCTTACCTTTTTTGGTGGGTGGAACTGTTCACTAAGAAGCATATAAATGTTTGTCCTTATTCCTTAAAGATGAAGGACCAAAACAACAAAATCCAAACCAAAAATAAAACCGAACCTGCTGGTTCTTTAGTAGATCCAGGCGAGGATCATGGGCAGAGGAGAAAAGAGACATTGATTTAAAAAACCTTTAGTAAGTCCAGAGGAGACTGGTGAAACCTGGGTGAAAAAAAGATTTATTACCATCCAGGTTTCTTGTCCAAGGAGAACACACGCAGCACACAGGCAGGGCTGCACTCACGTTGCGAGATCTGAGAGACCGGCCACAGGGACGGTGACAGCATTTCGCCGCCGTCGGCAGCCTCACACCATCCGCTGTTGTGTTCTGACCTGCACGCAGGTGGACCGAGGCTGAGGGAGACGACTTGTACCCCAGGTCGTGGGGTTAGGGGCTGGTAGAGCTGCCACTTTGGGACCAGGCCTTTCAGATGCCAGAGCCACAGCGATCGGTTGTGTGTCCCCGCTTACGAAGGAAGAAGAGCATCTTGCTGAGGAGGAGGCGGTTCCCGGTGTCAGAATAGTTTATGGAAGGTGTGGAGGCCACCGGTGGCCCCCTTGCTTGTCCTGTAGCCATGGGTGGCAGTGAAGGGCCAGCCACTGTGGTGGCAGCGTGGAGGCAGCCGTCCCGGACCCACTTTGTGAAGTGGGGGGGGGGGGTAAAAGGGAGGACGGGCGGTGGGGAGGGGTTGGAGGGACTGCCCTGTGCGCACGTGGGGTTGGCCCAGAAAGGTCTGGTACGGGCCGTAGGGAAGGGTGGAGCCTAGCAGTGGAACTGGCCTGCGGCGGGCGCAGGGCGATGCCCCTCCTGCGGGGGTCTGGGGGCAGGACCTCTGTGCATAGAGAAGCGGCGAGAGGGAGGGCCTGTGTGGAGCCCCTCTCAGCGGTGACTGCGCCTCCTCAGGTGGCCCAGGCGCGGGGCCTTGGGCTCCGGGACAGTCCCAAGGGCCAAGGAGCCGAGGCGCGCTCTTCCCAACTGGTGAGCTCGCGGAGTGGCTGATAACTAGAAGGCGTAATGACTGTTTAAATGAACTATAATTGTGATTTATAACTGGCCAAGAACTGTTTCTAAAATGAGTTATGTGGAAATACTTTGCTGTGTCAACGAACTGCTATAACCTGAACATAAGGTTTTTCATAGTCACTAGTAGGAGGGGACTTCTCAGAGTGCATTGTAATTAGGGACAAGAGGAAGTATGCCGTGTTTTACATGTGATCACCGTTTGGCAGTGGAGAATAAAAATAAACCCTCCATTAATGATGTACATAAACTTTTCCTCTGACTGAAGTATTGTCATTTGTGTCGTTCTTTTTCCTTTATGACATGTGCTCTATAGCTAAATTTACCAAAGATTAATATGATGGCAAAGTGACTCTTCTCTCTCGTCTCCCCCGAAGCAGAGATCAAAGAGCAGTCTGCGGAAGAGGATGCGGAAGCCGAGGCGGACGGCAGCAAGCGGCCCGCCCCGGCCCTGCAGCGCTCGGTGTCTGAGGAGTCGGCCAGCTCCCTGGTCTCCATTGGTGTCGAAGCCAAGATCAGGTCAGAGGGTGGGTGTGGCTGCTGGGGGGGGGGTTGGCTGGGTGACTGCAGAGGCCACGCGCGCGTTCAGCCTGGGACCCGAACCTTGATGGAACGTCATGATCGAGTGGCTTCTGGCCGCGGGGGGCTAGCCTCTGTGCGGTTGGGGGAGCGCGGTCTCTGGCCCGGGCGGCCGCAGAGCCAGGCAGGGTCCTCGGGCCAGGGCAGGATGTCACCAGGACGCCATTCCTGCCACAAGAAATCACTGAGCATTTATCATTCAGGGCATGGTGGTGGTCACCTGTACACTTATTTCACTTGCAACGTACTCTGTCTTTATTCTTTAAAAAAAAAAAACAGGCCCTGACCAGGGTGGCTCTGTTGGTTGGGCATCTTCCTGCAAAGCGAAAGGTCGCTGGTTTGACTCCTGGGCAGGGCACATGCCTGGGTGGCAGGTTCGGTTCCTGGTCGAGGTGCATACGAGAGGCAACCAATTGATGTTTCTCTCTCACACCGATGTTTCTCTCCCTCTCTTTCTCCCTCCCATCCCCCCACCCCCCAAAAAAGGAAAGAAACAGGACGTTATAATCTCACTGTAATTCAGCGTTGAAGTCTTTTACTTTTGGCTTTATCTGAAAGCCCCCGGGAGCGCTCTGAAATCGCCCATCAGTGAGCAGTCCTGTCTTCTCGAATGCCTGCTTCCCTCTACTTTGCTGCGCCTCCCTGCTTTTCGCGTCTCTTCTGGCTCCTGCTGGGGCGCCCACCTTCGCAGCCCTGGAGTTCTCTGTGGTCCTGCCATTGCCCCGCCCCCAGGGTTGAAGGTCCCTGGCCCCACTCTGCCGGCTCCGCCTGCAGTTGGCCGTCAGTCTTTCCTGTCCCCCCACCAGCCTAAGGCTTTAGTTCCCCGGGAACGGTGGGGAACAGTCTGGGTGGGTCCTTGTGTGTTCCCGTATTGCTGCCGGCCCCTGCCCAGGCCTGTCCCGCGACCGGCACATCCCTGGGGCCCCTCCCCTGTGCATGGGCCCTGGGAGGGCCCCGAATGGATGCCATGCTGCCTGCGGGCCACCGGGGTTTTCTGCCCTCACACCGGCCTCTGGCAGGCTCTCACGCTTTGGGCGAGTCCTTCCCATCCCACGTGTGGGACAGCAGGTGTCCTCTTCTCCGGCTGAGGCTTGTACTCTTCTCTCTCCGGAGGTGCCTGTCATTCAGGCGCAGGGGAGGGGTAGCCCTGCCACTTCCGTGGCTCGGGCGGTGGGGAAAGGGAAAGGGGAGCTCTCGCTGTCAGGAGCCCTTTGGTAGTGAGGGCGGGAGCAGCACTCGCCGCATCCTAGCTCCAAAGCGGAGATCCACGCTCCCCCCAAAGCTAAGCATGACCCTGCGGCGCTGGGCTGCCTCGTTCACCCCCGCACTCTTCCAGCCTTCCCTTGGGCGTCGCGGTGCGAGCGCCTCGCTGGAGACACGTGCGGGAGGCCCGTCGCAGGGGACGCCTCTGAGGCCCGGTAGGGCTAGGAATGATGTCGGTGTGCCTTCACGTTTGAGGGAGGGCTGTGGGTACAAAATGGCATCTTACGATAGTTTCCATCAATACTTTCAAAGTATTGCTTGGTTTTCTGATCGGTGTCGTTGGCGAGGCAGGCATCAGTCTGATTGTCGCTGATCATAGCTGATGTCTGCAGGGAGAGAGATGAGCCCGAAGCAGGCTGTGCTGAGAGAGATGTAAGCGTGGTAGCCGAGAGAACACTGCAGGCAAGGGCGTTATGAAATTAATACGATACTGGCAAAGGATGCTGGGTGTACCTTTTAGGCAAGAAAAAATATTTTTCCTATTTGACTTTACTTTTCTGAAAGTAGACTGCATTTAAGTGTGTGTGTGTGTGTGTGTGTGTGTGTGTGTTGTATCAATAGGAGACACGTTTATCGTTAAATTGAAATAGGTAATACTGGAAAAATGTACATAGGCAACTTTCATAAACAAAAGGAACTTAGTTGAGAGAGACCCACTATGAGTTAAACGTAAGTTTAAAAAACTGCTGTGAGCCCCCTTCTAGTGGCTTGGTGGGGTGCTGCCCGATACATGAATCACTTACTAAACCCAATGAGATCTTCAAATTAAAAAAAAACTAAAAAGGTTGTAGATTATTTCTATCACCTGTTAATGCAAGACTCTACGGCTGTTCATGGGGAAGGTGTGGAAGAGGTGATGGTGGAGACCTCGGTGCCTGAGAAGAAAGATTTGGGTGCAGCTGCCGTAAATGTATTGTTGTTTAAGTGTATTTTTTCCAAGGTTTCACTAAATGTATATTCCATAAGTCTATATTGTTTTTGTACTTTAAGTTTTTAAGATAGTTTCTTTTAAAAAATTAGGAGCTTTTATTGTTTAGAACAATTTTTGGTTTACAGAAACATTGAGCACATGGTACAGAGAATTCCCATTGCCAGCATTCTCCCCACTCAGTCTCCCTGCTCCTTCACACTGTGCATTGGTGCGCTACATTTGTTACAAATGATATACCATTTTGATACATTATTATTAACTGAAGTCCACAGTTCACACTATGGCTCATTACTTGTCTTACCTAGTTTTGTTAAACACACGAGGTCAGGTGTCTGTGTCCGGTCGCCGCATGTCCTGTGACACAGTTTCTCCGCTCTCTGCCTCCTCGCCCCCTCCCCTTCCTGCTGTGCCCTCCCACTGCGCCCAGCGCTGCAGCCCAGGCCAGCGCTCGCTCACGTGTATGCTTGTGTCTCGCTTGTGTCTCGCTGTGTGCGGGTGTGGGTGTATCTTGCATGAAGAACGTTCCATGGGTGGTTAAATCACCGCTTGTCTTATGGAGTGGGTATGCAATCGTATGGCCATTGAACCCTGCCCTCTTCCCCAGTCTTAGCTGTACTTCCCTTACTGTTTTTTAATTCTTTGAGTTTCTTGAATCAGATATAAAAGAAAATTGTGTTTCTAACTATAGACTATACTTTTTTGATTTTGGTATGTTTACTATTTTTTTAAAAATCATGCTGTGGAGAAGAAGAATTGCAAATATATAATTGTTTTGTTCTGCAGATTAAAAGGCTTAGCTTACACTAAAAACACAATATTTAATTTTAAAGCACACGTGACTGTAGTTGTCACTTGAAAAAGTTAAATGAAACTACTCTCTGCTTCTGTCTCCCTTCAATTTCTACCAGTGAACGGCTCTGCGTGTTTTGTTACTGTGGTGAAAAAAGTTCCCTGGGACAAGGAGACCTGCAGCAGTTTAGGGCAGCGCCCGGGCTGGCCCTGCCGTGGAGGAGCCAGCCTTCCCGCCGGAAGGACGCGGACGACAGCAGCGGCGGGGCCTGTGAGAGGACACCGACCGCAGCGCCGCGGAAGCAGAGGGGCCAGAGAAAGTAAGCGGTGGCGGCTCTGCCTGGGCGGGGCGCCGCAGGCCCGCTCACTCACTCCCACTGTGCTGTCTGTGGCCGTGTAAACGGCGGTGCCGCCGAAAGTGTCTCCTGGTCTCAGTGTCCACAGGACGCTTCATGACTCACCATCAACCCAACAAACGCCCCTTTTCTCAGAATTTCTTCCTTATTTTAAAAAAGTGTGTGATCTTAATTGTATACTAACAAAATCAGTGAGATCACAAAAGTTAATTTTAGAAGAAAACTTTCAAGTACATAACATACATGGAAGTACATAATAAAGACTAATGAAGTCTTCCCTTCCCCTAAGTACGTTTTAGAGGTCTGTACGGACGGAGCCAGAGAAACGCGGAACCGCAGAGCCTCCCGGCTGCGGGCTCCCTCGCATGGCCCGGAGCGCGTGGACCTGCCTCGTAAACTCTCCTCACAGCGCAGTGCTGGCCCACTTTCTTTCTAAGTGATAATCACACGCTGAGTGTGCCCCTTCTAATGTGAAAGAAGATGCTTTTTTCTTTTTTAAATGAAACAGTAATTCACTTAGATACTTGTTTAACTATATATTTGTGTTGATATTCATGGTCAGTGTAGTTACCCCAAACTCTTTTCCAATGTGTTTGTTTCCCAAGTTAAAAATCTTTTCATCTGTTGTAGAGTTTGGTTCAAGGCCATCTTCACCTGTGGACTTGGCTTTGGTAGTCGAGGGAACGGAATTTTCTGAGGTCCACTAGAAAGTGTAAAATTAATTTAGCTTGGAAGGCTCCCCAGTGCTGCCCCTCAAGGGTGATGATGTAACCGTGCAAGAGCTCCCCTGGCACGGAGCCGAGCACCGAGGCATTGTTGTGTTGTGCTTGCTGGATTGGCTCCCTCTTTTGGCCTGCTGCCAGCGCCTTGAAGACCTGAAGTAGGAAATGAAACAATCACAGGAGAGAACCTTCTAACAGACTTTATTTAAGGTGGACCAGTTTAAGGGAGTCCCGCAGCACTGCGTTTGGAGTCTTGCTATTGCAAAGGCCACAACTAGGTCAGGGACACGGGCTTCCCCTGTGGGCGAGCAGATCGAAGGCCGGCAGGCGCCCGGCGCCCATCAAGAGTCCACACGCTCAAGGGCTGGACCAGGCTGCGTCTCCTGTCTTCCTGTTCTGCTTTAAGTGATGGCGATTGTGGAAACACCTGTTCTGGGAAATACAGTTGGGCTTCATTTACTCATTTTATAAGCTAAGTTAATTTTTAGTGAAAATCTTTATGAGCTAAGATGATAATTATGTAAAAACAGCCTTGGTTTAATGAAAGCCTTTATACACACTTCGTGCTTACCATGTTATTAAGTCATGATAACAAGCCAGTTAATGGACCTTAGGAATGAAGTGCATTTATAAAATTTGGAAATCATTTAGGGGTAAACAATTAATTTAGCTTGGTAATGATTTTAAATATTTACAGAATATGTTACTAATGGACTATAAGCCAGATAAACAGCTGGTTTTTTTTTTCCCTTCAATTTGTAAGGGAGGTTTTAAAATAGTTTTCCCTTTTGGTTTGCTAAATATAAGAATCTATAATCAAGGATTCATTTCTCCTTTCCTTCTGTTCTAGACTTAAAATTTGGGGGGGGCATGTATTTCAGCGGGCTTCTCTCGCCGTGCTTCTCTGAGTAGGGCGGCCGCCAGCAGCGCGTTGCTGGTGTGGCGCCCACGCACAGGCGGGGGACCTGATCTGGGCGGGCCCGACCGCGCTGCCTGTCAGGGCCTGGTTTATGGCAGACGGGGTCGCCGGCCCCCTGGGTTTTCCTCCCGCCCGCCCCCCCCACCCCGCCCCCACCAGATGCTGGTGCACAGGCAGTGTGTCCGTGCGCTCTGTTAGTCTTTATGGGCGCGCTTATATCTCCCCCCATAAAATGCCAGTGATTAATACGGAAGAAGGGATTTGTAGGGATGGAGATCACCCTTATAGGAGTTTGTTCTCCTTTTACTGTGGGCATTCAGAAACATGAGAATTTAGAATTAGCATAGCATGCCAAACGTTCTAGAAAAGTTAACCCTGCATTTCTAATGCTGAACATAAAAGTATTGGTTATTTCTCCGTGGTTTGATATTTGCATGTGCTCATTGAAATAGGTTAACCCCCCTTTTCTTTCAGCAATCCCAGGTGTGAAACAGTTTAGTGCCTGGGCTCCTGTGCTGCTTCCCTCTTAGTAGGAATCCGGGCAAACACCCAGCAGGCAGGAGCGCCGCGAGCTGCGACCCATGTCCCGCAGGGGCCCGATCTGGGAGGGTGACGGGGTCGTGCTGCGGTACCAGGGGAAGACTGAGGTTTTACTGCCCGCCATCTGCTTTCCCCATATTTCACGTTTGAATGCAATAGCAGTCACTGTTTACACATTTATCTCCATTAATAGTTGAGGTTTAAGGGCCTCGAAGGTCTGAAACCTATCCAGTGTTCGCTTTACACTGTAGTTTCCGCTGCTGTGCGACCTTCCTCACCCTGGGCCCTTGGTAGCTACCTCGCCTTCCTGCTTTAGTTCTGAGTTGAGGTGTGCGGTCTCGGCGGCGGGCACTTGCACTGTCCTGTCACTGACCGGCTGTCGGTGGGGCCTGGAAGCCCAGCGCCCCGCCCCGCCCCGCCCCCGCGGCCTCCCTCTCGGCCCTCAGCAGCAGCTTCTCCCCTGGGCAGCGCCCTTCCTGACCTCACAGCAGCCGCCGGCTCTGCTGTGGCAGTCCTCACTTAGCAAAAAGCAAATTTAAATTTCTGATGTGATCAGATTGGGTCTTAGAAGCATTTAAGTAAGGCCTAAGAGAATATTCATTTTATGTGATAAAATATGGATTCTGCTTAGAGTATTAGAGTGCCAATTTTTAAAAAAATTATAGAATGGCAAAATTTGCGACTAATTTTCACACTGTTTACAGATTTTGGAGACTTTTTTTAGTTGCTTACACGATACAATGTAGTGATCCAGTTTCACATTTTACTATGACTAATAACAGATGTGTTCTAAAGTTGTTTTATGACAGCTTATGCCTAGTAAATTAAAATATATCTGGCAGTATGTTGTATTCAAGTTGTTACAAAATGAGACATTTTCTGTCCTTCTCACCTCACATCCTTTTTATTTGTTCTCCCCAGAGAGCGGCCGTCTTCACAGAACGCAGTGTCCTACGTCAGCGTCAGCACGCAGACCGCTTCCGAGGACCAGGCCGGGAGGGTCTGGGACGAGCTCGGCCTGGTCGGCCTGCCGGATGCCGTTGACGTCCAAGCCTTATTTGATCCCACAGGTAGGAGCCGCCCTTTGTCCTGGCTGCCTGTTGATTCCGTAGGCATTTTAATATTCGTGAATTAACACCTTCGTAGGAAGTGCCCTTCATCTGGAAATAGTTATGATCGCATTGTAACAAACGGCATCATTTAGGTAAAATAAACAGTCTAATTATTTACCATCAGCCCAGGGCCAACCGGGGCTGGGGGCTTTTCTAAGCCTTTGCACGTACGTTTGTGTTGGCAGCAGCGCCACGGCGGCCTGACGGGTGCAGGGAGATGGAGTTGTAAAGCGTCTGTGGGAACCTGGGGCACGTGGCCGTCTGGGTCTCTAGTGCGGGCTGAGGGGCGGTAGTCCTTGGCGGCGTGGCCCCCCTTTAGGACCGAAGAGCATCGCCCACCCGAGGCGTGCTGCCGGGGCTCTGGGCGGAGGTGCGTCCCCAGCAGACGGCCGCTGGCAGTCGGCGGCGGTCCGGCGCCCTGGCCGGGGGCTCTAACCGCAGAGCGGTCCTGGGTGGCGGGCGCAGCAGCGCAGAGCGGGGCCTGTCGCTCAGTAGCCGTGTGCGCTCTGTCGCTAAGTGCGGAGCAACATCCGCCATTTAGAAAGGCTGCTTTATGTGTAAGGTTCCAAATAAAATATCTTATAGTAATACTTGAATAAAATGACTAAAAACTAATTTTTTTTTTTGTTGGAGAAATAGTTACTAATTCAGTGATTCTCGTTCTTTTGAGCTCGTCGGGATCACCTGCGGGGCTTGCTACACCGATTTCTGGCTCCACTGCAAGGGTTTTGTTCAGCGGGTTTGGGCTGTGACTGACATTATGCCTCTCTGACAGGTTCCCGGATGACGCTGGCCGAGTTTTGAGGGGGGCTGCCGCAGCGCCCCCGTGGGGGCTGCGCCGTGCCTCGGTGGTGGTCTGTGCTCCCTGGTGCTCATTTGCTCCTTTCGCTTTAACCATCCTAGGCACGTGTTGGGCTCATCACCGCTGTGTGGAGTGGTCGCTGGGAGTGGGCCAGATGGAAGAACCGTTGTTAGTGAACGTGGACAAAGCTGTTGTCTCAGGGAGCACAGAAGTAAGTAGAAGAAACAGACATTTAAGCGCAGCTTTATAACAATTACTGTAGTCAGCATAGAGGCTCACTTGTAAGAATTCTTTATTAAATGATTTCTATAATGGAAAACCCCTCAAAATAGGAAATTAATTTGTATCCAAGAGTTGTTTGTTCAAACCACTGGACCATAATATGTTATGTGGTAAATGTAACTTTTTAAAGTAAATATTTTACATTTAAATGAGAAATTTAAATTTTTAGAAATGAGACTAACTGTACTTATACATCCATGTGGCTACTTTGTAAGACAAAACCATTTGATGAAAATTTAACCTGAGAGACAAGATTTGACAGTTGTTTAGACCACAGTGGACTAGTTCTGTTTGATATTTTAAAAACTGATTCAAGTGCTCCTTCTCAGCTAAGTTGGCAGTTCAGCTCACCCTTTTGGCACTGTCCCCAAGTAACATCACGTCCGTACTCCGCCGCCTTCAAGGGCGTTCCCTGAAACAAGCAGGGAAATAAACGCAGTGCTCGCCCCTGCTCTAAAGGCAGCAAGGCCTGGGAGGGAGAGCCGCCCTTCCGAAGGAACGTCAGAAATGGGAATTTTAACCACAGCAATTATATGTATGGTGTGTGAGAGCTTGGAAGTTCTATAGTGAAAACGTTCAAAAGTGTAGCTGAGAGAAGGACTTAGATTCAAGTAGTTATTCAATTATTATATCATTAGTTTAACCCAGATTATCAAAATGATGCCATTTACATGGATAAGTAACTCTCGCCTCAAGCTTAGTTGTGTAAGAGTGCTTGTTTTGGAAATGTGGCATCACATTCAGAGCTTATGTTATCAGAGTTTGAGCAATATACTGCCTAATAGTCAGTTCCACTGTCTGAACGTACTTAGGCGGCCAGATGAAGACCATGATGGATCGGTGAGGGTTATTTTTCCTGCGCAGTAATTCAGGAGGAGTTTGGGGTCACTTCGTGACATTGCGCAGCACAGGCGCATCTCAGACCGTTGCGGGGCTGGCTCTGCGTCCCGGCCCCTGCGTTAAAGCCCGGAGCCCGTTAAAGCCTGGAGCCCAGGGAAGGGAACTGGAATCGTGCTGGTGGAGGGCCTGGCCTTCAGTTTGTAGAAAACTCAGGATCTGTGAAGCCAGTGAAGTAAGGTCTGCCTGTATGATGGGAAAAGCAATGAGCAAGGGCTAAACAGAACTTCTTGATGTTGGATTGGAATCGGAGGAATCGGTGTGAACTCTTTATTAGATATACAAATGCGGAAATAGAGGCCTGTGCATATACCTGAGCTAGTGTGTACACGTATAGCTCCTGGCTCTGTGTGCTAAGAGGGGAGGTAAAGGAGAGCCTGCCTCTCCCTGTCCATTTTGGACAGAAGATACCAGTCTTGTTCTTCAAATGCATACTGAGTAACATTTGAGTGGAACTGAGAGGTCAAGGCTATGCCCTCCCCCTGACAGAGGCCTCAGGCAGGCCGGTGGGGCCTGCATTCCTTCCCCTCCCCATCCCTTCCCTTCCTGGGGCGAGAGTGTGGGGCGGGCCAGCTCTGGGAGTGGGTGGGGGCCGAGAGGAGGGGCGGGCAGCTGGGCGGGGAGAGGGCCCTGCGACCTGGCCCGCCCGGCAGCGGGGCAGTCCCAGCCGGGCAGGGCAGGGGCAGTGTCCTGTGTCTGTTGCTGTTTCTACCGTTCTCTGTCTGTTTTGTTTTTCCCCGTTATCAGATAGGCCCAGGGTGGACCAGTTAGCTAGAACTTTTAAAACTTGTCCTCCTCTAAGAAAAGAAGAGTTTGTCTCATTGACACAAATCTAAACACATAAGTTTGTTGATGAAGCTGTGGGGAATGGTCGTTCTTATGCTTTTGCTGGTGGGAATGCAAATTGGACAGATTTTCTGAGGGGAAGTTTGATGGTACCTAACAAGCTATCTATGCACTTGTCTTGTGACCTTTCTTGGAATCTATACTGAAAAGATGCCTGCAATAATACAGAATAGTCATGCTATTAAAAGTTACAAAATATTGAAAACAACCTAAATGACTATACACAATAGAATGGTCGAATAAACTATGGTACGATTTGCACAGTGGAATGTGGGGCAGCTGAAAAAACAGTGAGGGACAGCAAAGAGCTGTCCCTAAATAAGCTATTACAGCCATCTAGGACAAGGGACAGAAAGGAATAGCAAACTTTACACTTGGAGGGAGGGAAGAAAGAGCCAGGCCTAAGGACATGGAAAACTATTCCTTGACGGGTCACCTGTGAAGCTGTAGACGGAGCGGTGCACACGCGCGCTCATGCAGTGAGCACGAGAGCGCCTCGCAGGGGCGCGGCCACAGTTCTGGAACCACTCCAGGTGTGTGTTGTAAGTGAACAAATTAGTAAGTGGGTGGTAGACAGTGAGAACTCGGTTTCCCACTGCCAGAGAGAGGAGCCACAGGTGAGTGAGGAAAGGCTGACGTGGATTTTGTGCTATTGGAGTGGGATCAGAGGGGTTGATGTAAACTCGGGGTTTTTAACGTCCACACAGACAGGTACTGAACACCGACATGCGTGCACGCAAGTCGGTGCGCGTCCATGCGTTTCTTAGCGGTCGGCGGGGAGGGGCGGGCAGCCCACCCCGTGCCCAGACCGCAGCTGCTTACCCCGCTCTCCCCAAGAAGCGCAGTGGTCCCTGGTGCCGGGAAAATGAGGTCCCTGGAAAGGAGTAGGCGCTCCGGCGATGGGACTCACTGAGCGCGCAGGGCCACCCAGCCGCCTTCCTGAGCGCTCCCTGGAGCAAAGGCAGGAGCTGATCAGGTTCGGCTTCTGCCCTCAGTGACGCGCGGGTCCCCACTGACACAAACAGCTGTTGGGTTGGCCAGAGTCCCTATCTTTTATTCCATAAAATAAAAGACGCCTTTTCCGTTTTCACCAGTCACTTTATTGACTTGAGTCTTTTGAGCCCGTTGGCTTTCCCGCATGGTGGAACGTGCACTGTTCTCAGTGTCTTGAGTCAGTCGCTGTCACCTTCAGCTGGTCCGCCCGACGGTGGAGCACGTTCAATGGAAACCTCCCGCGTGAAACGTTGCAAAACCACTTTAGATGCATTCTGTCAGTCACAGCACCTTCTCCACACGCAGCACAAATCTTTTCTTGCATCTCAGTTGCGTTTTTTTTTTACCTTTCTTTAAATAATAAAGCTTAATAAGCCAAAAATGTTATTTTCTTCTATCTTCAGTATTAAAATGGCTACAGAAAAATCCACCAGTTTTGATATTCTTAAGAGCACGCTGATATGGCAGCTGTCCACAATACAATCTAACAAAATTGTTTTGAGTGAAGTGAAAGACGACGTAGCGCTCCTGGAGCCTGGAACTTTTTGGCCACCCCAACGAATGGCACAGGGCAGTCACACCGCTCCTTCGCCCAGCATTCTTCAGTGACGTCCCACGTCATTCAGAGAGTAGAAGCCAGTCCTAATGAACGGACAGGGCTCTGTGACCCTCACAGACCCCTCCCCCAACAAGGACTGACATCCCAGGCATCACCCGGTGTCCTTCCTCCCCTCGCCCACTTGCTTCAGCCGCGCGGACCCCCGCGGTGGTCCTCAGGCACACCAGATGGCAGCCCGCCTCGGGGCCTGTGTGGTGCCGCCGCCTCTGTGGTGGTCCTCGGTCCACGGGGGGCTTGCTCCCTTGCTTCCGTTAGGGACTTACTCAGACTGCCTCTTAGTGAGGGCTTTGCTGGGCTCCCTCTTGAAAATTTCCAGTGCCGCCTCTCCCACAGCACCCTGGTTTGTTGTTTCTCCTTCGCACGTACCGCCATCTGACGCAGTGTGTGCTTACTTACTAGTCGGGCTTCTGTCTCCACACGGGAAGGATAGTGGCCTTTTGGCGGGGTCTTCTTCTGTTCCCTCATTCCCCAAGAAGCATTTGTGGCCCAAAAGAATAGCACTAAAGATCATTTGTAGAATCATTTGTAGTTACAAGTAAGAAGCCCAGAGTCCAGAGTATTAAGAGAAGGTCAGTCACCTGTGTGGTTCCTTAATGCAGGTTTATAAATTTATAACCGTCCCCCAAAATCACATTAATTAAGACAGTAAATTTCTACAGGTCTGCGTAAGTGATGGGGAGGGAGGGTTGGTGACCATGGAAAATCTTTTAACATCTCAAAGGCTCCCTGGGGCAGAACATGTAAAAGTGCTGTTGAGTTTAGAGTTCATTTTTATCTTCCCAAAAGGCAGATGTTCCAAATGTTGCCTCTCATTATTATGACACGCGACTGAATATATTGTGGTACTTTGTCTGCCTCTTCAAGACAAATATAAGAGCAACAGTGGAACATAGTGACTTTTCAAAGAAGTGTGCTGGGGTTGAGCATTTCAAAAATGGGTATTGGGAACTATTTCTCTTGACATTTTATTGTCATAAACCATGGAAGTTTATAAAAAACAAAAAAACTTCTTGTATTTGTCTTCAAAGTTTTGGACATGGAATTTCCTTATTTGTGTAAAATATTTTTTAAAGTTTTAGTATACTTTAAACCCAGTTGTTAAAAAGGAAAAAGTACTTTCTGACTAAAAACGGTGAAAATTGACTAAATTCTGGTAATTTTGGTTGGGATTGAAAGATGATTGTGGTAACGATGCACTCCTTTTTCCGAGCTCCTTAATTTTGTTTGGACTCCTCCCCCCTTTTTAAAAACACGTGATAGCTGTTGAAATGAAGAGGCCTCTCAGTCTAAGGAGGAGGGGATCGAGGTCCAGAGCTCAGACGCGCTCTCCACTTCCTGACCGTGCAAGTCTTCTCCGAGAAGCTCCTGCGCTCACACCCTTCCCGTGCCTTCTCTTTGCCTCGCGGCTCTCTCCTTTCTGTCCCCTTCTAATGTGTGCAAATTGACACTGTCTGAGTCTGTATTTCTTTGGTCCTCCAGCTGGGGCTGTAAGGGCGCGGATAATTATCTGTTGGGGTTTATCATTTCATCCCGAGCATCTGGCAGAGAGCACCTGGAACAGAGTCACTGGCTGA